TTGTTGATGTGACGTTACTCACGTGTAACACGTGTAATATAAAGCGTTAAAAATGTGAGTAATGTGTGAAGCAGGCAGTTCATTGGCGTATTAAGAAGGAAAACAAAGATGACTGTTGTTCGATATTAGTAAAAGTTAGGCAAAAATTGCATTCTATAATATTAAATATTCTTTTTATTGCTTTCGAAAATAAGTGGAAGTGGAAGGGAAGGAGAAAAGACAGCAATAATTCAAGAAATGAACAAAACGAATGAGAAAAATTAATTCAATTCTCAGTTTGACCCATTAAATGCCATTGAGGAACGAACAGCAGAAAGAGTTCAAACTCGCATAAATTTGCATCACTTCTGGAGGAGAGCGAATTCTGCGCAATTTCGTAGTTATTTTGTGAAGAATGCCAATGGCATGTTTGTTTGCAGTGGAAGACAAAAACTCTTTCTGAACTTGCGAAGTCCATCTCTCAATTGAGTCCCACAATTGAATTGTCAGAAAAGAGTCATTTAGCTTTTCTTTTTCAAAATTCAGATGAGCTCAACGTTTAACAAAGTAGAATTTTCAGTCATCAAACATACAAAATTACAAAAAGTCTTCAATTTCTAAGCAATACTTGACTGTAAATAGAAACTTCCTATAGAGGAAACGGAGCTTACTCAAGGTAAAGTGTCAGATTTTTCTTCTCGGTCCTGAGATTACTGCTTTCAGAAGCTTAAGCAATAAGTAAGCTTCTTCAAAATATTAATTTTGCATTAATTGATCTTAAAGGTTGTTAAAATCATCAAAAATGCTAATATTTTAAGGTGTGTTTTCTTTCATGAGCAAACTTTTAAGACTAACATTTTGTTTTCAAATTTGGTAATACGGAATATGCATGTATATGAAAGAAAGCACTGACTGTCTCAACTATTTCTTTGCAGTGTAAGTTCCCAACTTTTACACAGTTCAAATAGAATGCAAATTTGCTAATTAATGCTGCAAACATGCAAAACTGGAAGACAAATCAAATTAGTTAGCCTTACATTCAAAACATTTATTTTCTTTGCAGAATTTCTATTTGGATAAGAACAAAATAGAAAATATTAGTAACGAGAAGTGTTCATTAAAAGAAGCAAAAACTTATAAATGAATTACTGTAAGAGTAAGATATTAAAAAAATTGCTAAAAATGCCGACGATTTGTTATTTGAAATGTGACGAAAAAGAGGATGGATGAGTGAAGTAACTGGCAAGTATAAGCATCAACGAACTACGTGAAATGAAAGTGAGTACGAAGTAATCGCAGAAATATGTTGAAGTTATGCAGAAATGGAAAGTATAAATGCTCCGTCGTCCTTGAACACTGCGAAAGAGAATGAAAGTAACGTTGAACTGATAGATTTCGCATTAATTCCTTTGGGAATTTTTCTTCTAAAAATACAAAAATTTGAAAAACTACGCAGCTGGCATGTAAATTATGAGACTACTCTAATAAATCACGTGGAATGCTATAAGCCAAATATGAAGGACTGAAGGACGCATGTTGAAAGATTGATGCAAATGGCAGCAGACATGACTGAAGAATACAAAGCATGTCGGCTCCACAGGTCAAATTAAGTCAGAATATGATGCTAATTTCTGTCTTTATCAGCAATTCAAAATAAAGAAAGCAAAAGTATTCTTCTTCCTAGCATTCAAATATTGAAAGAATGTTACGTGTGACTCATTCCGATTAAAGGTATGATAAGTGTCGTTATGCAGAAGTGAAAGCACAGATCAAATGATACGATCATAAACAAGTTTTTGATTTTGTTCTTCTCAGTGATCAGTCAATACGTCAGTATGGATCAGTGCATGAGCTGAAATAGCAAAATGAGGTGAGATCTGTGTTTGTAAGCACTAATAATTTGCAAAGAACGACTGAAAACAGTGCAAGTTTTTGCATGCAAATTCAAGAAAACATATTCAAATCAGTAATAAAAATGCAGAATTTTCTTCAAAGTCTTAGAGACACTTGGCAAAGAGTTGGAACTTCTTTAATAATTTCAGACTGTTAGAATGCAGTCAGAAATAATTTCTCGATTCATTTGTAACCTTTGACATTTCTTCTTGAATTTGCTTTGATGGTGTCGAATTTACATTATATCCGAAGGATTCTTTTTATAGTTAGCACAAAAGTCAATAAAATAAACACGTTAAAAAAATTTTAGATCAAGAAATTGCTCATTAATTATTTTGATTTTTTTGAATGTTTGTAAATTTACGTGTATATATTATTATCAGAGGTTTTTAATATGCATATTTATGAACTTTGTTTGAGTCTCATAGGAATGAGCGCTAAGACCTATAACAAAAGTTAAGGACTGGCAGAACAAAGTTGCTTAAAAATTAGCTAATAAAAAGTGCTAACAAAGTAATGGCATCACGTGAGAAAGTGATGAGGTAAAACAATTACAAAGGTCACGACATTACGAATGCTTGTAAGGGTAATGAGTGATAAAAATAATAACATTTGTATATAACATATATATTTATAAGTGAATATTTATTAATTTAACAAATTTTTTCGTATAAATTTCGAATAAATTTACCAGAAAAGGAGCTGAAATGAGTGCAAAATTTTAATACGTCTCTGGTTAAATCTTTCTCGAGAGACAAATTTGCGCACTCGCCTTCCTTTCATTATCAAACTATCAAACGCGTATATGAACCTGGCATTGCCCTCTTGTTGACCTCTTATTAAAATTATTCACACTACAAAAATTATCAGACTTTCATCACTCTTTTAAATATTTTTGTTTATTCATACTTGATTTATAATCTCTGAAAAATTTTTTTTACATTACAAGTTTCTTAAAATAAAAAAATTGTGTTTTACATACATATATATGTACTGTATGTATTTCATCAATTGTAACTAATAAAATTCGTCTCAATAATTTTGAGTTTAAGTTTTATTCTAAATAATATAAAAAGTAAACTTAATAACGCACGAGATTTTATACAGATCTAATAAAGATTGCAGAGGAAAGATAGTTAATATATAAAGAGAAGAAATAAATGCAAATAAACGCTTTTTAGTGTAAATAATCGCGTAAGAGATTTTCACGTCATCATTATATAACAGTAATGTAATGACGGGAAATACTGAATAAGTTGAAAGTGTAAAATATTACTGCAACTGACATGGATGGCATTAATAACGTGAAAAAATCTAAAGTCGTACAAGTTTGAACTGTAATAGAATGTGAACAAATTGCATAGATTAGTAACTTGAAGTGAATTCTAATTTATGATTTAGCATTGCAATGATAATAAGCAAAGTTGTTTTATTAGCGGCAGTCATTACAGACTACGGTAGATAGTATTAAAAATACAGTAAAAAAGTATCGATAAAGCGAATATTTGCGATGAAAACCAAAAATTATTGCTAATATTTGGTGTTTTTTTGCTGCGAAAGAACTGAGGAATGCCAAACAATAACTTTGGTGCGTATAACTCAATAAATAAAGTGCAAAAACGAGCCGGAAATGATTGAAAATGCACTAAACTAAACTGAATGATTTTTGCAAGAGAAATAGCCAAGTTGGCATTCCAGAATTCCCGAATTAATCAATGTATCACTTACTTGTAATTAATTATTAATCAATACAAATATTTGAAAAAGCTCTACAATAGAATTTGGTGCTGAGAAGTAAGGCAAAGGAAATACTACTGAAGGTACTGATTTTTTAGACTAGAAAATCGCCACTAATGTATTCTCTTAGCAGTTAAAAACTTGATTTATTTTCAAAAAAAATCCAAATTGACCTCAATCGCATATATAAGTGACAGTTACTGGCAACGGCACAACACTTCCTTTAGTTTGAGTTCAAGAAGCCAAATGGCTATTGAATCTGCCTGAATGGCTCCTTCGCATACTGGACCAGAATAACGTTTTGCAAAACCAGTTGTCATATTTTCCGATCAGTTCAATAACTATTTGCAACAACAGACAATTTGAAGAAGCTCCAAAAGTGTTTGAGAACTTTTCAAAACGCTTTTATTCCTTACAAAATCTAAAAATGGAAGATTTGCAAGAATCTTAATAAAATACTGAGATCGCTACTGAGATACCATGCATGTTTGAATTTTTGCAAGTCTGCAGTGATAATCTCAATTCAAAAAGTTTGACACGAAATTTAAAGGCTTTGATAATTCGAACTGATTATTTAAAGAAATACACAAAAATTTCGAAGTGCGACAATTACATTGCAAAGTAAAAAATGGCAGTAAATTAATTTTGAACCACAAAGTATCCACAGAAAAAGTTTTATGTTCAGGTCGGCACTTTTACAGCTTCAATACAGCTACTTCTATTAGAAGCCAATCTTCAAACGCTTACGTATTAAGCACAATGACCCTAATTTGCACAAATTTGGTCGGACACGATAATAATTCACCCCGTGGAAAGGGATGAAGGCATTGCACATTGGGGTGCCAATGTAACAAACCGACCGAAATGTTGCAAATCATGATGTAGGTCAGTGATAAGCATTTGTTTTTGGCTAATTGTGGGTTGCCTATTTCTACGTGAATCACGCTTTTTTTCTGTCATAAATTAGTGCTGTTTACCTTACAGCTTTTATTTATATGTTTAATTTGTTTTTGCGTAAATATGAATTGAGTGCATTTTTTGCAGTTTTCCAGTAGTGTTTGCGGCAATTTGCTGCTCTGGAATAGTTCTTGTACAATTTGTGAATCTTGCCCAGATTTACTATTTTACGAAACTGAAACAGAATACAAGCATTGTTGTGTAGTAATTATGGGGTGAAGCTAATGGTAATTAGTAAGTAGATATGTGCAACTGATTGCTATGTTGTAAAATAATATAAGGAGTAGATAAAAAGCTTGTGACAAACATTAGTGTGTCTTGTTATTTAGAACTTGAAGTTTGCAGTCAGAAGTTCAAAAAAGTGCAGTCATAAACCTTTCCAGAATTATGGTTGTTGGTGATTTGCTCCTACCATTCATCGTGATACTTTTCAGATGGCAGCAGCATCCCACAATGGTGTAACAGGGGACAATGAATATAATAGGCCCACATTTGATGAAATGACCAGCAAGGACTATTACTTTGATTCGTATGCTCACTTTGGAATACATGAAGTCTGTTATTTAGTTTCAGCTGTGAAACTTGATAGTTTATTAAATTCTATTGTTGAAAATTTAAAGATGTTTAGCTGAATCTCTCTGTTTCATGCTAGATCTATTGTTGTATCATTTGTATCATATTTCGTCAAATGTACGAAATTTGCTAGGAAATGTTAAAAGACGAAATACGGACAATTACGTACAGAAATGCAATATATCACAATAAGCATTTGTTTAAAGACAAAATTGTAATGGATGTTGGCTCAGGAACTGGGATTTTGTCTATGTTTGCGGCTAAAGCTGGTGCTAAAAAAGTCATTGCGGTTAGTTTTTCATGCAGTTAGTGATTGGAAATGTATTTAAGCTTAATACACCAAAACTCTCTATTAAAGAACTTTTACGAGTTTCTTCGAGAAAGTAAATTAAGATCTTTTGTTGTAAAGAAATGTTATTTTATGGTACTTTACTTTTTATTCTTAGAGCGGCTATTCTTAAGATTTACATTGCTGCTTATCGAATAGGAAATTTCGAGAAAAATGTTAGTACGAAGAAAGGAATCATGATCCTCATGTGTGAACGAAGTGTTATGTAAGAGTTTCGAATATTTCGATGTTATTAAATACTATTTTTTTTCATGCTTCACTTATAGATTGAGTTCTCAAATATGGCCATACAATCCAAGCAAATTGTAATAGACAACAATTTCGAGGGTATCATTGATGTCATCCATGGAAAAGTTGAAGATGTGAAAGAGTTGCCTAATGGCATTGAAAAGGTTTTATTGATTGGGATTGAGTTTTTCATGATTTTTTCCTAAAGTTAATGAACTTATATCTGATTCCAAAGTAATTATCATAGATATAGAATAACATGTGTAAACAGACATAAATGCACAATTAACATTTTTTAATAATTTACTTGGCCTTTCCTTAATTTCTTCATTAATATAAGATTATCCTCATAGGTTGATGTAATCATTTCGGAATGGATGGGATACTGCTTGTTCTACGAATCGATGCTGAATACAGTAATATATGCTCGAGATAAGTGGTTGAAGCCAGATGGTGCACTTTTTCCAGATAAGGCAAAACTCTTTTTGTGTGCTATTGAAGATCGACAATATAAGGAAGATAAAATTAATTGGTATTACTCGTTATATTCTTGCTGAACAGTTTTTTATGGATTTGATTTGTTATAACATTCTTCCATTGTGTGTAGATCACTAAATTTCTAAATATATTGCTACAAGAAATTTATTCAGGTGGGATAATGTTTATGGGTTCAATATGTCGAGTATTCGGCGTGTAGCCATTACAGAGCCTTTGGTTGATGTTGTTGATCCATCTCAAATTGTCACTAATAATTGCTTGATCTGTGTATGTTCATTTTATTTAAATTTTAGTCGTAAAAATTACTCTTTTTTATTACAAAATATGTCTGAAATATTGCATTACATCTTCTTCTTTATAGCAACATTAAACTTTCATTTGCTTACATGCAGTACTGTTACATATTTTTTTTCTTATTGCTCATTTTTTGGTAGTTAGCGCTAAATGTTATGCATTCAGAAAAGTAAAACTTCTCGTATTATCAGGATGCAGCATTTTTATTTTTACATGATGTAGATTTTTCTGTAAATGACATCTATTTAAAAGATGTCCATTATAATCAAGTAGAAAGTTCTTTTTTTAGCTGTTGTAGAATATAACGTTAGTCATAAAATAATTTGTCAGTTTTTACAGGACGTTGACTTATACTCTGTTAAAGTGGAGGATTTAAAATGGACCAATAATTTTACTCTACGAATTACAAGAAATGATTATGTACAAGCTTTGGTTACGTTTTTCACTATTGAATTTTCCAAATGTCACAAACGAACTGGTTTTTCAACTGGACCTGATTCCCAGTATACTCATTGGAAGCAGACAGTTTTTTATTTGAAGGTCACTTTTTTTCTTTAATTTGAACATTCATTTTTTCTATTAGTGTAACTATACTAAATTTCTCTAATAATATGTTGAGATGCTACATTCTAAGTCTCACATAAGTAATGGTAGACTTCTGATAAAAATAGGATTTGTTTTCATATGGACTACTTTTTTGCTTTAGAGACTTTCTCCGTAATTCATTTAAATTTCTTCAAATCTTGAGAATTCTAGTTTTTAGGTGCAGTTTCCTATTTTTCTGTCCTTTGAAAAGACGTGAAAAAAAGCATACTGTAAACTTTAAAGCTTTTAAAATTAAAGTCAGTATGTAGATTTGCAATGCTTTTTTAGGATGCTCTGACATGTAAAAAAAATGAAGAAATTACTGGTACTTTTTCAATAGCACCAAATGCGCGGAATGAAAGGGATCTAGATTTCAAAATTTTGGTGCGTTTTCACGGTGAAGTTTGTGATGTTGAAGAAGAAAATACATACACAATGCATTAAGATTGTTGCTTTATTTTTTTCACTTGACTACCGTTGTCAACTAAAATCTTATAATTTGTGGGAGGGAAGAAATTAGAATGACTAAAAAAGCCTGTCATAGAAAGTTATTTTGATATTAAACTGTTTGTGGTCATCTGTCTTTTACTTTAATATTTAGTTGTTTTTGAAATTAATAATTGATCCTTTGGCCGAAGTGCTCCAAAGATTACCTGCTTGTTTATTTTATTATGTATTAGATGTTTGCGTTTTCAGTTCTCTTCGTAATTTAAAAATATTGCGCGTGAATTATGCAAATAAATCTTTCTTGCTACATTTGCTCTAAATGTTTGATTTTTTTGCCGTGATTTTTCAAATAGTATTACATTATTGGGCGTAGCTCTGTGAATTATTCATGCTTTTTCAAAATAGGTGAATTATTGACAGGGTTCTCAAATGAAGTTTTATTTGAATGTCCGCGATGCTTCTTCCAGTGTTTTTTTTAAATTGCAGTTTGAGTTCTACTGTTAAAAGCAAGCATATGATTAATATATGTAGCACTCATTAAGGCTCTGCAGTTGTGGTTTTTCAGTTAATCAGGAAATGAACCGGTATGTGAGAGATTTCGCGAAAATAAGGGGTTGTCTGTGGGTTACTAGGGTCTTTCTTATGCTAAAAAATATCTTAAGTTGATTTTGCATTTGAAATTCATACAGTACCTTATGGCCTTTGCATTCTGTCGCTCCTGTTTGGTATTAGGTGGTCGTTTAAACTGTTATGTCAAGTACTAGGTCAGTAAGTGCTTATTCCATTGGGTACCAGTAGTACTGGTTGTCTGTAAGTAATGGTTGGTGTTGTCAATCTCTGAGAAGTAATCCTGAGAGGGTGTCAATCTCGTTATGTATTCAGAACTATGACATGACTGATATGCAGTGGTCGAAGATGATCTAGAGGTGTGAATTGTTAGACAGTAGTAGCAGGATTAAGTAATATTATTAAATGGAAGTCAAGAACAAATAATAATGAGTCTAATTTATTGCTGAAGGGGAGGGTTTGACGTTGGAAGCATCAAATCTCCAGAGGCTTCATCAGCAAAGGAAGATTCTGCTTCATCTGATTTTGCTTCAAGTATATCTGAAGAAAGTTCACCGAAGGCTGGCATCGAAATCTCACCACCAACAAATTTACATGAAGAAGGTTCCACGAAGGATCTGGATTTATCAACAAAAGTGCTCATACCTGTGAAAGATCACAGAAGAGTCGAGAAAGTTGAAGAAAAAGTTGTGGAGGAAAACAAAAGTGCTCGGACAATAAGTCCGAGACGTCGGAAGTAAATTACTAGCAACTTTAGTTGTCTTTGTCTTTTTATTATATGAAAACAAGATATATGAGTTGATTTTGGGATAAAATTTGCTATAAAGACGGAAACATTTTTTAAAGATTCGCACAGTCTTTCAGCTTACATTTAGAATAAAATTTTGATTTATTTCAGAGCAACTCTATTACATTTCGCAAGAACAAATGAGCTGCCTAATGTTGCACGTGTTCAGCTTCTCCTAAGTAATATTAGTGATAGACCATTGCGGTTCAAGTTGAAATGTGAACCAGGCTCAGATATTTCGGTTTCTTTATTTTTCTGCACTTTAGGAAAGACTTATTTGGACAATTGTTCACGCTAGCATAGTTATTTTGTTTGATTTATTTCCAAGAGAATTTACCTAGACGTGGGAAGCAGCAAGCAAACAGTTTTACATATTTTGTCGTTTTGGAAATTTTTATTGTGTTATTTTTTTCATTGCTGATGTAATGATCAATTTTTCCTCGTAGTTGAAAAGCAGGTGTATAAATTGAAAATTTTCAAAATGCACACATTTAATACTAGTCCCTTTTAAAATGAATTATGAAAATTTTTTTCCAATGGTGGAAGTACTGATACTTTCATTTTTTAAATTTCAGGCATTACCAAGTGCTAAAGGTCGTATTAATGGTCATGGGTCATCAAAATGTACCTTAACGTGGCGTCGTGAACCAAACGTTGAACAATGGTCTCAAGCACAGCGACCAAAAATGCTTCTCGTTCTAGATTTTCTAGGTGATAAAACTAGAGATGAGAAACGTACTCTAACAAGACTCATTGGTGAGTATGCAATGTTTCGAATTATTTTGTCCGGTTCAGACATTTTAATTTTTCGTATTTGCTTTTTAAGGAGAAGTGGTACCGGGTCTGATATGCGACTCAAATAAACCACCTGTTGAACAGTTAATGCTAGATGCAGTTTCAAGTGATTATTTCCGTTCCAAGTCAAGGTTTACTTATTTTTCATTTCAGATGCAAGAATTAAATAATATATTGTTCTTCCACATGGTGAAATTTTTATATATCAAGTAAAATTTGAGATGAGGGATAAGCTTATAATATATATATATATTTCTTTGCAAATTCTTCTTATGGATTAGCAAGCGTGGAGTTTGAAGACATGATAAAAGTTTTAACTAACTTTAAGTGATCTAAAATTACATAAGTTAGAATCTTGTTCAAAGAAGTAGCCAATGTAAAGTAATACGTAAATGTAATTTGCGGTGAAAGTTAGATAGAATGTAATTTCAGAGAGATGCTTGCAATACAACAAGCTCATACTCCTGCATGTGAACCAGAAAAACGACTCGCAGCAGAATCAAAAAGTATAGTGGACGATATAATAGACTGGTTTGGTCGACAGTCAAAAGATTCTCTACTTGGATTACTTCTGTTGATGATATTTTTTTATTTTCTGGGGATGTCAAATTGTTCGAAACAGGACGATAGTTAATGTAGATGTAGCTAAATGCAAGCCTGTGCTACTTATCCATGTAACTGAAGGTGTTTCAGCATTAACCTGAATATACTTAATATGACGAAGCCACACGTGCTCATTGATATTTTTGCATTCGCTAATAATTTTCTTATTTTGATGTATTGATTGCACTGACTAAGAAAAATTTTTATGAACTGCATAAAACTTTTCAATGTCAACAAGGAAAGTACACAACATTGATCTCGTATATCATGAAAGCAAGAAATTGGTTATTTGGGGCCATTTTTTTCCATACATAATTGGTTCTCAACATCTCTCTGGTAGAGCACATTTGGTCATTTGTTTAAACTATCCGGCTCTTCTCATTTGAATTCACTAGATATAACTGTAATGATAGTAAACATAGATTTACTGTCAGTTTATCAGAGACTTATTTATTATATGTCTGATCAGACTGGTCAGATGCATGACGGACCACTGAGGCATGCAGAGGTAGTGATCTGATTTTAAAAGGAAGCAGTATTTAATGTCTGTAGCTCTTGAGATGAGTATGGATGTGAAACCTGAAACAAGTCATCAACCCGACAAAGTTGATAAGTGTCTTGAAGTACTCGATGAGACCGTGATGTTACTGGAGCAGTGCTTGAAATTAGCATGCAAGTTTATCGGTGACAAGCAGTCTACATGTACAAATATTGCTGAAGAAGAAGATGGAAGAAGGCAAGTATGTGGTTTACTTTTTTGGCTTAGTCAACTTTGCATTTCAATTTTTTTGTGATGATAATGGCAATGTTTAAATTTTGGCTTTTATTCAGTATGATATTTGTGAATAAGTCTGCCTCATTTTAAGGTAATTGAAGAGAAGGAAATAAGCGATAAAAGTACACCAGTAATGCGATTTACAAAAAAAGATTGTGGATCAAATGGTGCTGTTGTGGGAGCAGAGAGTCAAAATGCAGTCACCGTATTAGGATCAAAAAATATCGATTTGATTTATTATAAAGATGAAAGTCAAATGCCGGATATAATGCGACTTATCACGAAAGTTCTCAGTGAACCGTACTCAATTTATACATACCGTTATTTTATACACAATTGGCCCGGATTATGTCTGCTGGCAAGTTCATTTTATTTGAATAAATAATTCTAAATCTAGAGGATAAATGGTTGATCATTAACAATGACGATCATAATAATTCAGGCTTTGGATGTCAATGCAAATAAATACGTTGGTGCAATCATTTGTAAGCTTGAAGTGTGCCGAGATGGTGAGCGACGCGGGTATATTGCAATGTTAGCTGTGGAAGAATCGTATCGAAAAATGGGAATAGGTCGATAACGATGATGAATTATGTTATTTTTATATACACAAAGTAGGCTAACTTGTGAAGAAAAATGCCAGTATTTTGTTATTTGTAGGTACACGTATGGTGCAGAAAGTAGTTTCGAATATGCAAACGATGGGTTGCAGTCAGGTAGATATCATGTTGCAATTCTTCAGTATTTCTTTTGCAGAGTGGTCATGCTCTTACTTGTTACCAAAAATTATTGAAGAAATTAGATGTTTAGTAACGATGTTTTGTTCCACCTCTTATTAGGAAACTAATTATGCTTTTAAAATTTTTCCCTAAAACTTGCTCTAACTATACCGTTTTACAGATTGTACTAGAAACTGAAGTCACAAATGCCGATGCACTACGTCTATACGCTAATTTAGGATTTATAAGAGAAAAACGACTATTTCGGTACTACTTAAATGGCGTGGATGCTTTCAGACTTAAGCTCTACTTCACAAATTTGAGCAGACCATCATCACCAGATTTACCATCAAATAATCAGTGTATTGTCTGAATCACTCATTTCTTATAAAATAGTAGTTTATAAATTGTTACTGCTGATGTAGGTTGATCTCATTAGTTACCTGAAAAGATCACTGCAATTTAATTGTGGTCGGAAAAGGAGATCCCATAGAATACGAACTATTGTCCGCATTTAGACTGTAGAAATACTGAAGTCTTTGCACCATGTCTGATAAGTCACGAAGTGACTAACAGGATTGTCAGTTCAGCTTCCTCACTCATAAATTACTTTGTTCGAACTTTCATGACGCCTTACGTCCACTGATACACTTTTCAATCTCATGACCTAGCAATGCCTCCAACCCATATGTTATCCCTCATGCTTCATCCACTTTTTCCATGCTTTCTAGCATGCAATGTCCGTTATTAATGTAATTAACAGCATCAGTAAATGCCAACAAAAAAGAATATTTCGAAAGTTTGGAATAAGGACAATGCACAGTTCAAGATTTTCTGAATTTTATTTCATGACATTGAAAATGACATGCAAATGAATTACATTTACGAAATGGATATCATGAAATCCAACATATAATTTCCGTCCATATACCACTTTACATCTCACTCATGAAATTTGATATGAAAACTGAAAAAAATTTGTATAGGTTCAAATTACCCACTACCACTGTTTGAAGATTAAAAGGTAAAAACCAATCAACAAAAAAGTGGGAAAGATCCATAAATGGATCTGGTCTATAAACTGCAGTGAACTGGGAGAAGTAACATTTCATGCAATAGACTGACAGAAGTGTGAAGAGTAATCACGAGACAGAACTCTGCGTTCAGTTCTTACGACGTTTCGTATTGGGTCCAAGACTTGATGGGTGCTTGCGCTTTTGACTTGATCTATGAGCACGTTCTTCCCCGCGATCACGCGCTCGATCAGCTGGAATGATGTTTGTTAGCTATTAAAGGTAATAATGGATCTCAGACAAACAAATACTGGAACGAAGTGGAGATGGAGAATATGTCATAGTCAGCCATATAAAGTGTCAATTAATTCTACTGGCAACAACTATGGAAGAATTATGTTTACCTTGCTGAGCTTCCTCTTCCAAGTCGCTCCAATCTTTACCTTCGCTTTCATCAGAGTCTACACTTGCCTCAGACTCTGTAATAAAGAATAACATTAGAAAATCGGATTCCGTTCTTTTGCAATAAAATACTTCATGAATAAAACTAACAAACCCGAATCTGACGTCGCTTCCGGTGACTCCTCTTCATCTTCATCTTCATCAGAACCTTCTAAAATATCAAATTCACAATCTTAATAAAGAGCAGTTCACGTCAAATGATTTGTATTAAATTTTAACATAAAAGATACCACTTTCATCTTCACTTGGTGAATAAGCTTCCTCACTTTCTTCATCTTCTTCTTCATCCTCGTTCTGAAAAGTGAAAAACATACAAAATTCATGGAAGAAACAAATAATAAGTCAAGAACAAATAATAATCACATCACTATCTGTAGCCAGAAAGTTCCATCCACCATTTGCAAAGAAGTCTTCTGGATCATCCGAAATTGTCTTCATAATTTTCGCCCAATTTAATGACTGAATTCCTTCCGAGTAATAAATATCACAAGAGCTAAAACGGAACAGAGAGATGAAAATTGGGAAAATAAAAACTGTGCTACTAAATGCTAAGATTTGAAAAATATAACTCAAGCAAGGTGGTCAAGTTGCAGATAAAAATTAATGCCTTCGATATCACAAACTAAAACTAAATGATACAAAACTAGGACTTGATAACATAAAATTTTCAGAAAATATCTGAAACACAAACTTAAGCCACTCTTTGACATTATCTAACGAAGTCATCGGGATCTGTTGAACCATTTGAGTTTTTCTATAATAATCCTTGAAAATGAAAACCATATCAAAATTTTTGAGCTGGAATGATACGCGCTCAAAATGCACGAATTCCACTTCATCCAAAGTTACCACGAAAGGAGGCTAGAAATCGAATGTCTGAATTATTATAGAACATTTTTGTTGTTTTATAAGCATTTTGATTCAAAATTTTCTGATATTTATTATTCAAATTGTGTTGCGATCTTGAATCCGGCAATTCCACACAGTATTAACATATGACACTTCGGGATACAGTATATGAATCATTCCTTTATTGATTACTTAAGCATAAAAAGTGACAAACCCATTCACTCAAATTAACTAAACACGATGAAGTTGGCTTCAGTGTGCAAGAAGATCGATAAGGAACGCCGAAAAAACCAAGCTCATTGAATGGAGTATCAAAGTCGAATGCTTCATTTGTTTGACGAACAACCTATTCAAACAGTACTATGACATCACTTGTATTACCGAAGCTTATTAATGAATGAAGCTATTGTATAACAGAACCTACGTAAAAATGAAAATAAGATTTTCTGTTTTCAATAATGGAAACAGGAGACAAATAAGTGCCTTGAACTAAAAATAAGAAGAGAGATCTATGAGTACATTGTGATTCCATCAAACCTAGGACAATGTTGAAAATCTAATTTTTCATATTTATCATACCTTGTCACAGAAATTTTGAAAAACTTGATTTAAACGTTTTCGCATTTCCCGCTCAAGTTGTTCACTTTGAATATCATCACGGTCCTGCATATGATGATATTTACCTAAGTCAGTGGTGATTTCACCAACTTCGGTATAAAACTGAATATCCTGATATTTACGCTTGCCCCATAACACTGGATTCTGAAAATGACAACTGCAATGAAAAAATTAGCATGATGCTTTAAGATGCAATGAATGAAGAAAAATGGATTTGTCTTCATTCATTCCACAGAAATATAAACAGCTATGCAAATATATAAACAATTTTGAGATCAATTGCCATTCAGCAAATAAAGATAATAACTTGTAAGCCAGACTTAATTTCAAAGTAAATTTACAGTCATGTTAAACAAATTTTTAGACTGTGAAAAATTTATGAGTCTATCTTACTTTTAGTGTAAAATGAATTAATATGATCATCTATCTTACTTTTAGTGTAAAATGAATTAATATGATCATTTCATTGTCACATGGTTGAAAAAAAGCGTGTTTTATATTATTGTAAAGCACATCCATTTTGTCTCCCCGCAATGAAGTATAACGGAAACCTGAAATGTCATTGACGACTTTAAATCACTAGAAAACAATCACTTGCTGCCATCTGGATTTCTATGGCCTAGAGTTCGGAATTTATAGTTCATGATTTTTACCGTTAGCATGCGCTTCTAGTGAACCACTGATTCTCTTCGTGATAACATTTGGCCGTACAAACAAATCTTTTAGCTTTGGATTGCCTTTTGCAGTTGACAAAATCAGCTTATCTTGCTTCACAACACCTTCCCTTTCGCGTTCTTCAGCTTCCTGTGATTTTTATGCTAAATTCTCACCAATTAAGAATCGAAAGATTGTTTCAAGAATATTCAACAACATTCTATCAGTAACAAACATAATACCTGTGTTCTAAATTTCTTCTGCATTTCTTTGATTAGACGATAGGCTGTACTGAGGTTACTACTAGGTGCAGTTAACCCACTATATTCTTTTCGATTGCTGCTCCGATAGGTTCTATGAGATATTTTAAATGAGCAATGAAAATTAAAGGTTCGTACCTGAACGAATCAACAAAACTGCGGAAACACGTACTATACAATAAAGATATCCTTAATTTTCAGATAGCAGATAGTGACATACTTCTATTAAAAAAGATGAAGCAATCCAAGAAACTCACAATTCTTTGACATATGTTGATAATGGATTTGGAAATTGCAACTGATCCTTTCCGATCTGTGATCCAGGATGCATAAAGTTTACTCGCAAATATGTATAATCCCCCTCGACTGACTGACTTGTGTTCTTTATCATAGAAATATGAAACGGTACAGGTATTCCGAATATAGGTAATATGACGGAATCATGCCGACGATCTAAAAAAGTTATGCACAAAAACTTATACTTTCAAAAACCATTACATCCATCTAAGATTTGTTTTTAAATCTTATGAGCTGTTATCTTATTTTCAGATATTGACCAATAAAAAACAGTCAAGAAGTTTGATTCGACTTTAGAATTTTCTAAATAGGGCACCTAGGAATTCCTTAGATTACTATTTTATTAAAAAAAGCTTGATAAAGGTCAATTTTGCAAACAATGTATTTTTCCAATATAGTAGCGAAGCTAGGAAAAATTAAATTGAAGTGACTTCATTCTGGTCCGTTCACCTTAACTTTCCAATAATTATGACATATGAATATGTCGTGAACAGAAAAACAATCATCAGATGAGTTCGAATTGATAGAAAAAAAAACTTTTAATGAACTTACCAACATAAATTTGAAGTTTATCAATTTCTGCTTCTTTCGGAAACTTATCATAGCTTTTATAAGATACATTCGATTTTTTAATCTTTTTTATGTCCTTTTGGTCTATTTGACCAGCCAAACGTTCTCGTGCAATTTCGTTCAAACGTTTCCCTAATTCCTTTTGATGCTCTTTACGTTTATCTTCATTAGTAGTTTTGTTCTGAATGTATTAGAACGTAGGAACCCAAAAAAGTACGTAAGACATTCAACAAAATCTGTTACTGGCAACTTCCATGCAAAATTATTTAATTATATCACTTTCAGTTCAAAGACAAAATTTGACACAGATGTCATTCCTAAAATAAATAGCTGAATCACTGCTAGTTTTATTTGCTAGAAGTTTAAGTCAAAAAAAAAAAAAATTACCCGCGTTTGCTCCTGCAGTAACACTGACCTCTTTCCCCGACCAAATCCTTCGCCAAGGCTATTTTCCTGTATTAAAAAATAAATTAATGTTCATTACACTCAATGGAAACTAGAAACTTTTTCAAGCACGTTAAATAACTAACTTTGTTGTCATCACCATGAGAAGTTTCAGCTTCATCTTTGAATCTAATTAAATTAGATTTCAAACGCGATTTTGCTCTTTCTGTAAGGATTTCATTGGCCCCTTCCTAAAACAAATTAATCACAAAGAAAACTCAACTGCCCCTTTAATTCTTGAGTTATAAAATTTACAAAATTGACAGCTTACCGCACAAATCAGGACAGTGTCGGACAACAGCAAAGCGGATATTTTGGACCGTTCATCTTTGGCATTAGGATTCTTCAAACCTTGCAATCCTAAGTAGATAACGAATACCATATTCGGTTGTACTTCCAAATCACACTTGGGACTTATTAAGGCTGTTGATTCTCGAAATTCAAGCCCAGTCAGAAAACTGTAAATCTTAAATACGAATTAAAACTAGCACAGCGCGTTTCACATAATACAAAAATGCGGCTTAAATAATTTGATACCATGCTTTTAAAACTAACTGTAACGATTTTTCTTTAATAAATAATGATTATTTATTATTTTAGAGTAATTAATTAAAAAACGAATTTAAACTTTGTTCATACGACACCAAGATGCAAATTTTTTTTGATTCTATAACATTCTCAACGAAAATGAAATTATTTCAAAAAATCAAAAAAAAGGCAAATAACTTTTCAGTTTTGAGTGAATAAAATATACTACCCGAAATTATTTTTATTTAAGTGTTCCAACACTATTTTCTCATCTTTTGCGGCTTCCAATCCTGCTGAGTATACTTCATTTAATTTTTTGCCTGGTTTCAAAGCCTCAATGATAGTATTTTCGATTACCAGTAATGATTCATATGCATCTTGTAATTCTTTCGACGGGTCCACAAGCATTGTGCGACTCAAATTAGAGCAGTAGTACTGAAAAAGTTAGTTTGGTGATAGATTTATTTTCGCTATTCCCTGACTAAAAGTTCAAACTTTTTACCCGACTTTTTTTGAAGTAATGTTTCATTCAAAACAAGTACATCACTAAACAAAAGTTAGAATATTCCAGTACGTAGCAGAAAACTGATTTGAAGTTCAATAACAAAAATGATTACAAATAACAGAATTAAGTTCTTTCTTCACTGAAATGTCACCTGATAGCGGGTTCCAAGCGAACAAATAATTGTTCCATAATGCATTAGCTTCTCGTTACTAAATAATATTATGTTAGATCATTTTAGACAAGTTAAGTGGTAACAAAGAACAGTAACTAGCAAAACTAATCGAACCAACCTTTCGGCACTTAACTTTAGAGTATAATCTCCACCAGACTGTATAATTGGCGTGTAGCATGATTCAAGTTTACGGTTTTCTGCAAGTCGCTGCTGTACTTGTGTTGTTGTCATTGCTCTTTCAAGATCTTCCGCAAAACGACTATGTTTCATCTTCTGAAAATTCCATGGGAAAATTTTATTACTACATTTACAAAATTAACTACAAGATTACTACAAAACTACTTAGTCTTACACCATGTTTAACAATTATGCTTTTCCTTGAAGTCCAGAAAATGCGGCACCTTTGCTTGATCTATGATATCGATTATATTCTTTCTAGCATATGACCATGAGTTAACCGATGCTTGAGCAGCCTTTCTGCATAATTCAATTTCCAATTCATCTTTTTTTGCCAACAAATATGCAAAAGAAGAAGACACGTCTACGGTCTAAAGTCAAATAAACGTCATGCACAACTTTTGACCTATTATACACACTTAATGATAGAAGAGAAGTTATTATGTAAATATCCTCGAGGAAGCACTTTATGGTTCTGGATTAGCTTCCAGAAACTTGTGCGGTAAAGCACTTTGTTTTTAGTATAATATAAACAGTACGAATCTAATTTTGAAATTTTATGCATTCTTAGTAACAAACTTTATACTTTTGAAAAAGAACTATTAATTTTATTTTGTCAACGTTTACAAAAATCATTAACCAATTTGATCTCACATTCCTCCAATACATTGTTCCACGTTTGCGCAAAATCAGAAGTGTAGGAATCTTTTGCAAAATATCCATATGATGAACCACTTTCTTTAATCTTATCAACTAGCTTCAAGAAATTAGCTCTGTCTTTATCTGACTGCAAAATGATATATTTCATTTTCAAGCAAAGCATACCCATAATCACAAATCTTGTTTTCCTTGCAAGAAAGATACTGATTAAATTACAACAGCTAAAAAGGAACAGAACTAAAAAGCCTACTTTGATAATATTCCAATATTGAATCTTTACACGGAAAGACAACAAAAAAACCATTACCTTCTCACGGACGAGTATTGTAATCGCAGGAAGAGAATTAACGGCCTCTTTCTTTTCAAGAGATTGAAGAAACTGAGCTTTTCTTGAACTTGTCAAAAAGTAAACATTTCGTTTAGTGAAAACCGCCAACATATCGTCTAATTCATAGTCAAAAAGCCAAATCTGCAATTTAGGTGGCCGCATGTTGACCAATGATACTTTATTTTTACGGAAATATAGCAGGTTATTCCATGATATTTTACGGAAACACAGAAGTACAAATTATCCCACGATCTTCATACTAACCTGTAGTGCATTCGATTTCGAGTACTGCGGAGCATCATCATCACTACCAACCATGAAAAGTAATGCATCCGCTTTGGATAAATTAACATCATTTCCATCATTCTGTGAAAATATCTCATATTACTAATCAACATATTCACTGCTTTATTCTTATCTTAATCCATCAAAGAAAATCCTTAAATGTTGTATTTTAAATGTCATGAAAGAAAATATAATCCAATAAGTAGCATCAGAAACTTCATCTTCTATCATACTTGCCACTTCTATGACTCATATCTGGCAGAGATGAGTACTAATCTATATTTCTTGAATACCAGAGTAGTACAAATATCTGAAAATGACTTTGAAACTATCACGTGTTAATGCAAAGCTAATTTACCCAATGACGATACAATTTTGTAATTCGCTTCAGGAACACTTCCTTGTTAACTGCAACTTTTTTGTTGTCACTCATTACGGACATACAGAAGAGTTGTAGCAAATATATAAAGTAGGAATATAAAGTATATTATGTCGGGCCTTTCACACATGAAAGAGGAGCCTAAACACAAAATAACCGTCTACGTCGTTGATGTATAGACCTATCTGTAGGATTCAACAGAGTGACAATCACCTTCCTTGTCCTTATCCTTCCCTTTGTTGTACAGCAATATTTTTCGAAAAGAACAGGATTCGTTTCAGTAAACAGCCAGAAATTCCCATGCAATGTGGACCGTTATGAAACACTTTTTCTCGTAGCGTGAAAAGTTAGTCGCTTAGAGTAACATATTTGTATTAATATCTGCTAGAATCATAGTTTGCTACAGTTTTTTTCAATTCTAAAGCTTGGTTGGGTCAATATTTTGTTGGTAATTAAAACATTCTAGAAAAAGCTCGCAAAACTTTGAACGTTTGGCTTTCTATCAATACATACAACAGTTCGTTACTGAAGTATATTTGATCAATTTTGTTCGAGAATATTATGTTTGGCGTAATAGCCGAAAATTGTGACAATGTTTAAGAAAATCCGTTACAAAAGTAATAAATACATTAATTTAATTACCACATCAGATCTGAGCGACATGCCTGAGAATCTCCGTGCCAAAAACATACTTACTTAATTTGCTCTGTATCATTAATGTATTAAGGTCATGCTAAGTAATATGACAGGCAAACTAAGGTCACTTAAGGTCATAAAAAATACTACTTGATTACTCTGATTATTTCAGTCTATTAAGAATTGCAAATGAAAGGTTTGGTAGGGAAAAAAGCAGTAATATTTTCGGAAAGTTTTTATTGTATGGCATGGTGAAAGTATCAGTATATTTTTATTTAAATTGAAAGCAGAACAAAATCCGTTTACATAGTCGACTACAGCACTAAATACAGAATGCTGAATACTGTAGAGGGTCTAAAAGCATGTCCAAACTGCATACAATAACGAACACAAAACAAACTATTTGAAAGAAAGACTGAAAAACATAATTGTTACAGTAATGGATGGAAGCAGAAGCAAATGGTGCTATAAAGTAATAAAGCAGTAATTTGGTTACTTATTATGTACATTAAGTACTGTACGCAAACCTTTTGCTAGCTTACTATGCTCTTTATTTTCACCACTTTTGCTATTCTTTCAGTGCTATTCTTCATTTTTTATGGCTGATTCCTGTTAATGATAATATTTAATCTTAGAGCACAGTTACAGTGCACAGTACGAAAGTGTATTTGGCGATGATGATAATACTGCGTGACGTGACTCAGTACAGTGCATGCAGTTCAAAGCCATCTAAATTCTGAAATTTGGATTTTTGACCTTTGACAAGTTAATGTCACGTAATGAAGTATTTTTTTCATCTCACCTTCATATGTGTTTGTATATTTTTAGTAATTAACACAAATTCGAGCTTATTCGCAATACATTTATGCAATTATTCGTATACAAATGAAAAGTATTATTCATGTCTTGCCACTGCCACTTTTGATTTGCATTGCGAAGAGGGGAAAAATTGAAAAATGAAGTTTACATTTATCGGTCAGAAGTCAAAAAGTAAAACTCATAGCTTTTTTGCGTATTTTCAACACTAACTGTTTCGCTTAATGCTTAGTTTTTCATAGCAACTCTGTCGTTGATGAACTTCGCTTGCAGAAAATAAAAGGGACAGTTCCAGCACTAATTAAGCAAAGATATTTTTGCAAAAGTATTTCAAAAATAAAATTGTGAATATTAATTAAAAATAACGAATTGATGGAAGTTTTTTGGAAAAGCAACCTCCTCCGATCTTTATGACTGTAAGAGTACATTAGCACTATTACTTTTCTTGTAAACAAGTCATTTGTAAAACTGAATTCCCAGAAATTTGATTAAATACTTTCACTTTAGTATTTTGAAAATAATTCTTTTGTTTTTGCACAGCTCAAAAGAAAGTCTGAAAAATCCGCTTGTTGTTCATAACTACTTCCCTTTCATACTTTTTCATTTTTATATACTTTTGCGCAAGTTTTTATTTGCGAAAGTTTTCGTAAAAATACAAAACATTGCGAATAATTCAAATATTCTACTCAATAAAATAATTTCTGTGCTCGTTCACAACTTTCAAACTGTTCACTGCGAATAAAAATGTAAAGCGAAATAAATTATTTAATTAGCATAAATGCCATAAACTGATAATTTCCTCTTTTGTACTCTATGAAAGTTACAAATCCATTGCGATTTTGCAAATTTTCGCAGCGCGAATTTTACTTTTTAATATCAAAACTCTATCAAGCACACTCTGCACTTGAATTTTCAAATCAGCAGCTTTCAAGCCTTTACTTTTCCATTGATAAGTTCTTTTTCAAATTTAATTTAGTTAAAAAAATTTGATTAGCAATATTTGGATTAAATGAGCTTCATTAAATACTTTTTGCAATAACCGTAATTATTATTAAAGTAAAGAACAACAAGCGAATTTTTTCTGATTTTCTTTTTTATGAATTACAATTCACTTCACAATAACTGAACTTTTCCTTGCATTCTTTTTAGTTTTTCCAATGACATTTATTATTTAATTATTTTTTATTCATTTTTTTACTCAATTAACTGCATTTATTTTGAATACATTCCGCTTCACTTTTTAAATTAAATATTAAATGTGCAAAGAGCAAATGTCGCAAACTCAAAAATTTATTTAAGGCTATATTCGCAGGCATATTCGCACACATTGTTTATTATCGTACTGTTAGAAAGCTTTCTTGACTACTGCTGGTTTTGTACATTAAATACTTGGAAAAATGCATGATATAACTTGGGAGAATGAGAAATATTTACAGGCTTTACATAATTTGAATTTGTCTTTGCAAGTTTATTTTTGAAGTTTTAACGATGGGTATTTTTAATTTTATCACTGATGGCAAGCATCATTGGGAGAATGAGAAATATTTACTGTGGCACAGATACATAATTTTTATTTTAATGCTGTACTTGAATAACTGCTGATTGAAAATTAAACTCAATTAAACTAATATTGGAACTTTTTTTCAGCTTTAATAATAATTTAATTAAGTTGTATAATTTGTTGAATTTTATTTCCCTGTGATGCAGCAGTAATCATTGCAAGGGTTATCAGCAGCCAATTATTACAATGAACTGATAGTGATGATAAGCCTCTTGAACGCGAATTTCAGCTAAAATTACAACCTCTTTCAATAATTCAGGCATTATCAAATGCTTACGTTTTTTATTCAGTACTCAATGATCACTCAAATATAATGACAAATTTTCATCGGTTCAAAGGCCAAAAATGTTTTACAATTCATTTTTATAAAAATTAAACTTATTAAACTTTCTGAAGTCACTAAAGTTCATATATTCAGCTATTACAAACTTTGTATTAGCTATCAGCAAAAATTTTTTCAAATATTGTCCAAGTTTTTGATTGATTTTTAA